GTCTGTAGTAAACACGTAAAAAGTGCAGTCTCTAACCTCCAAGCATTAATTTCCTAAAAAGGAAGCATAGGTAAGATCACTTAATCTATTATTAAATAATGTTATTATTTGTGTTTCTCTAGTTTGTTTAAAAATTGAAATATTTATTAGGGCCCACATCTTTTAAAATGTGGGGTTTTACAGAAGAACAGAAATCATTTTACCACAAAGACATTTGCACCAGAATGTGTATTGTGGCTCAATTCATCATTGCCAAGTCGTGGAAGCAACCTAAGTGCCCATCACCCATGAATGGATCAACAAACTATGATTTATGTATACTGTGGAATACTATTCAGCTGTTAAAAAAGAAATGGAGACTCTCTTTTTGGAGAGACTTTATATCTTTTACATTTACCTGGGTGGAGTTGAAATATATCCTCCAGTGTACTCCATACTAATATGAAACCATTATACAAGCAATTACATGCTCATATGAACAATAAAACACAAATATAGTCTAGTACGGGGGGTGAGGGGGACCACTGGCAGAAGGAGCAAGGGCTTGTGGCAGGATCTCAATGTGCACATAGTGAGGGTGTCACTCCCCCTGGGTAAGGGGCTTTTTAACAATAGGAACTTTACCCTGGAAGTGAGAACAAGTAACCTAAAAATTTGTGCCCTCTTATTAATTTGAAATTTTAAAAAAAATGTGGGGTTTTAAAACACTTTATAGTTCTACACTATAAAAACAGTCATTTTTATTTAGTTCTCTTTGAAACTTGTATGGGTAAAGAAATGTCAAGCTAAGAGTGGCTATTTAGTTCCTGCTGTTGCAAAAGGCTAAGTCTCACTTTCTGCATACTACTTGTCTAATCTTGATTATGTGTTACTTTAAAATAGTGTTTTTAGATCATAGTTTGTGCTGGCTTTGATTCATTTTAGTTTGAAAATTGTTGACTTTAGTGTTTTATCTGAAGTGGCTTATGTAAGCCCCAGAATATGATGCAAATCTTCAAATTGGTCTGATCTCCTAAACATTTAAAGTGTAGTTTTCATGATTGCATGCCACAATTTTATATATTAAAAGTGCTAAGTGTAAGTGATAGTAGAAACTGCGATTCTCAGTTGTCAAGAACTTAGGACAAAACACACTAGGCTATTCAAAAACTTCTTTATTATTGTTGTATAAATAGAATCAATATGATATTAGAGTTGGTATGACATTTTGTTCAAAGGACGAGATTACAGTTAAAGGGTAATAAAATATTGGTTGATGTTTATACCTTGTATACTACCAAAAATAGAATATTCTTGAAAAATAGTATATTTTTAATTATGATAAATTAGATAAATACTAGAAATTAAAGGACATTTTCTAATTTCAAAGTATATACATATGATTACATAATCTCTATAACTGGACTTTTATTCAAATCTTAATTCCTGAGGCCATCCTTCTTTAGTCTCTAACCTTTTCATTCTCTCATGACTGTTCCACAAAATATATTTGGAGAGAATATATTCATGCATGTTTTATGTGTTTATATACATATATTCCCATACTCTCAGTTTAGCGCTTCTTTTTTGGTGATATTTATCTAGGATGATTTTACACTTCCATTTACTCTTTTGTACCCATTTGTATCTCCAATACTGTGATTCTTTCCTAAAACTCCATTTTCTGCATCTGAAAACTAAATACTCATAGAAAGTCAAAAAGAAGGAAACTGGTGAAATGAGGAGTAATCATGGCTCTAGATGCATAGAAAAAAAAATTTCTTTTGAGACACAGAGTCTCACTTTGTCATCTTCAGTAGAGTGCCATGGAGTCATAGATCACAAAAACCTCAAACTTTTGGGCTTAAGCCTCCCTAGTAGTTGGGACTATAGGCACCCACCACAACACGCAGCTATTTTAAGAGTTGGGATCTTGTTCTTGCTCAGGCTGGTCTCAAACCCATGAGCTCAAGCAGTCCACCTGCCTCAGCCTCCCAGATTGCGAGGATTACAGGCATGAGCCACTGCTCCTGGCCCAGAAAATTTTCTTTCATTATTTATTTTACCATGAGATTTCCTTATGATAGAATACAATCATTTAGGGGAAAAGTACTGATAAATCCTTGATTTTCAATTCTAAAACTTCATTAATTATAGTATTACTTAATATGTACATATTCGCATTCACTGTACACAAAGATGGACAAACTCAAGTCTGCAGGTAAACATTATCCCAGGAACAATGCACAAATGTGTCTCCATGAAGTCTGTGGCCATTTATTCTTCTACCCCTCTCATCTGTTTAAAGCTTTGTCTCAACATGACTCCTATCCTTTGTCTGAGAATGACCTCTCAATTCTTGCAGCCCATCATCCCCATTCTGACTTTCCCAGCCTGATTCTTTTCATGCCATTTAACTATTTAATTCATTCACAAGGAATAATTTATTGTGTGAAGTCCCAGTACTCAGTTTTGTAAACTACCGAAAAAGAATTCCTCACCTGCCTTGATACTCTGCTGCACCTATGTCACTCCTCAAATTTAGATTTGTCTCATGGTCTACTTTCTTTAGTGCCAAGAAAAATCTATGAAACAATTCTAATTGGTTCCACTGAAATTCATGCATTCCAGCCTACCCTTGAACCTCATGGCTGCATGAAAGCTTTCATGTGGTTTTCACTGACCCTTATCAACATTCTTCACAACAGAATTGCTTTTCTCTTCTTAAGCTTCCAGCCAGACCAGCCTCCTAGGAAGTCATTAGCTTTTTTGTTAATATATACAAGGCAATTTTCTGACATGAGTATCTTGGGATTCCCTCTGTATTTTCACCTTTTTCTGTGTCCATCCTTTATTTCTCTTACAATGGAGAGATTTTTCCTCTTTACCAAACTAACCATTTCATGTATGTTCTTTTTACCATCTCCTATTGCCTTCAGCACATTTGTTTTTATTAGTTTTTCCTACTACCATTTGCATATTCAATCTCCCTGACTCCACAGACCTAATATTATTCATTGTCTGAAATGAGGCACAAACATTCCACTGTCCCCAAAAGACCCTGATAACTCTTATCAATTTTTAAAATGTTTTTTTCCTTTCCCAAACTCTCAAACTTCTTGAAAGAATAGTGTATACTCATTTTCTCAACTTCTTACTGTAGTTCTTCTTTAAACCTCTCTGGTTTGGCCTCTGACCTATTTGTGCAATGAAAATAGTTCTCTTGAAAGTCACCAGTGATCATTATGTAACGTGAGGATATTCATTGTTTTACTCAGGAAATGTTCACTTCTTGCTTGCTATGCATCGGGTACATGCTAAGTACTAAAAGTCCATTATTAATAAGAAAGACAAAATCTTTTTTGTCACAGAACTTTAGGTAGAGGAAAAAAACAAGTACAGAGAGAACTATAGAGTAGTGGAAGAGTTGCAATTTTTAACCATCAAAAATATGAAAGTAAAAGAGTACTATCTAATGCAGACTTTGGGGGTCTTAAAAACTTTTAGGTAGGAAGTGAAGCTTCTCTTAAAGGGGAAAAAATATTCAAGTAAAGGAGTAGGACAGCATTTCTACCAGAGAAAGCATCTTTCAGGAAGGAATCTCAAAGTTAATATACTTTTGATTATCTGCCAATTTAGAAAGGTGAATACAGAATTTGGGGGTGGGTGGAGTGGATGGTAGGTAATAAGGCTTTTTACCTGAATTGAGTTTAATTTATATTTAAATTTTTGTGTATATATAAATTTTGGGTTAGGGAAAGAGATCTATACTTTACCAATTCTCATAAATGAATCTGTGATTTCAAAATATGCAGAGCCGCTGCTGTAAATGTCGTTGAGGACTAGATTATGAAAGGCTTTATATACCAAGCTAAGGAGTTTTTAAGTTCTGTTTTGAAGACTCTAGTTTAAAGAGGTTTCACAAACAGAAGGGTATACTCAGGTTTTCATTTCTGGAAAGTTTGCCTCTCTGTAATGTGAATTATCATATGAGAAGAGTAAGACTGCATAAAGGGGACTTAGGAGACAGGCAGGAGTGCAGGCCTGAGGGGAGCTGTGCTCAAGGACAGGGACAGTGCTGAAGGACAGGGAATAAGTCATCAGTGGGAGTTAAATAATATGTACACGTGGACATGGAGCATGGAATAATAGACATTGGAGATTGTGAAGGGCAGGGCGGTGGGAGGGGTGAGAAATTACTTAATGGGTACATTGGTTGGGTGATGGTTACTCTAAAAGCCCCGACTTTACCACTGTGCAATGTATCTATGTAACTTAAATTTATATAATCAATCAATAAGTAAGTAAAAATGAATTGATGGAGAAAAAAAGAAAATGCTTAGAAGATAGAATTTAAATTGTAGTCCACACTTGTCCCGGGTCCTGTCCCTTTATACGTAGTAGCACACTGTATAGGCCTACACAGAACCCTATCTCCAATGCTTCTCCACTCAGTTTCATGGAACTAACCATCTCGTCTCAAATTAAGTATTTGTGTACTTGTTTTCTACCTTTCAAATTCTTTGGGGTGGTATCTCTGGGTTTTCTGACTTATACAAAGTGGCATTTAATAGAGAATTACATACAGTAAGCATTCTAAACTGCTCGCTAATGGTTATGCTTATATAGCATATACTCTGTTCCTTTGTTCTAAGAGCTTTGTGTGTGTTAATTCATTTAATTCTCACAATAACCCTATGAGATACACACTATTATTATATGCCCTTTTTGGTTGAAAAAATAAATAAAGTTGTGGAGAGGTTTAGTTACTTTCCTAAAGCCACACTCTAACTGGTGGTGGTGTTGAGATTCATACCCAGGTATTCTGGCTCCAGGGTCCATACTCTTAAACAGTACACCAAACTGACTCAAAATCAGAACAACATTATTTGAATACAGTCCAACATCTGCTAAATTTAAAGCAATGTGTAAAATGTTCCAGTTTAAATGTAGCATTTTATTCGATTTATGTGGAATAGCTAATGAGTTTGCTTTGTAATGTTTTTATTTTAATCTTTTAGAACCAATGCGAAGATACAAGACTTACCACAGTGACATCTTTAGTGTCTCCAGTGAAAGTCCATCTATTATTTCCTCTGAATCAGATTTCAGACAAGGTGAGATATATCTTGAAACAAGCAAGATGTTGTTCTTAAGATGTCAAAAAGAATAATTCTATATAAAATTTTTAAATTGTAATAAGCTGCCAGTTATCCATTAGTGGTATTACAGCAGCTAAATAGCACTTTCACCAAACAACAATGTGTAGTCATTTTCTTTATGGAGGTAATAATTTATTGTCTTTAAAAATAACATAACTGCAGGGACAGAGCAAGATGGTGGACCAGAAGGTTCATTTAGCTGAACTCTCCTAGAATGACTGGGGAAAAAGAGAACCCAGCCATACCTGGCAGGGACCTTACCCAGAGTCATAGCTCAGATAACACAATGAGAATGTGGTAAGCTGGATACAGTATATGATCCGGAGTGATGGAAATCTGATGAATTAGGCAAGTAATTGGGATCAGCTAGCCCCCCGCAGAGGTTTGAGATAGGAGGAAATCTTTCCAGAGTTTTCAGTTATTGGGGGAAGCTGCACATTGAGTTGAAAGCTTGGAAGAGTGGGCAGACTTGAGTAGCATACAGCAACTAGATTTGAATATTGATTGGAGTGGACTTACCATAGGTTTGGTGGCTGGTAAGGCAGCCATACTGAGAGGGTATCGGCAGCCAGGGGCTTCCATTGTGGGAAAGCACAGCTGTCTTAATTCCACCTGTGGGATCAATATTTCAATCTTGGAACAGGCTGAAGGACTCCTGCACCCCATGGGAAATGGGGTCAGGGGTAACTGTGAGACCTGCCCCTGAAGGATTCTTGTGAGCTTTAAGATCCCAACCCTGCAGGGTCTGAATGGAAAGGAAACAATCAGGCAATCACTTTGGGCAACTAAGCTTGGAATAGGGATCATAAAGGTTGTAGTCTATGCTCTCTGTCTCCTAAAAAACCCTGGTGTCCCAGCGACATATTGCAACATACTGTCATCAAGAGGAAGGACTTCTGTTTATTTGGCTGTGAGGAAGAGTTTGGCTTTGCTCAGGGTAAGGCCACTTCCACCCCTAAGCTCTGAGACAAGGTAATTTGAAGCAAAGGAAGCAGTGAGAAGGAAAAAGGAGGACAAGAAGGTGAACAAGAAAAAAAGAATACATGAGAAGGAACCAACAGAAAAATTTGGGCAAAATGAAAAACCAAAACAGAGGAATGCCCCCAAAGGACTATGAGGCAGCTACTAAAGAAGAATAAAGAATTAATGGACTTCACAGAAAGGGAATTTAAAATATGGATGATAAAGACAATAAAAGGAATGGACAAGAAAATGGAAAGAAAGACAGAACCAAAAGTCTGATGAGAGATATGTAGAATATAGAAAGGTTATGGCAAAGCTTAAGGAAATGAAGGAGACAGTCAAGGAATGTAAAGATGGAGTAGAAAATATCAAAAATAGGTTAGACCATGGAGAAGAAAGAACCTCAGAGCTAGAAGATAAAGTTTTTGAGTTAACCTGCATAGTTAAAGAGGCAGAAAAGAAGCGAGAGGCCACAGAACAGGCACTTAAAGAACTACAAGACTCCATGAAGCATTCAAACATACAAAAGATAGAGATTACTGAAGGGGAAGAAGATTGTCCCAAAGGACTGGAAGCCCAGCTAGAGACTATCATGAATGAAAACTATCATAAACTTCGCAAGTTTTACTAAAGATCCTGACATACTCCTTTCAGATGGATATCGAACCCCAGGTCATCTCAACTCAGAGTCTCTCCAAGACACATTGTAATGAACCTGTCCAAAGTCAAGGTGAAAGAAAAAATACTGCAAGCAGCCAGGAGTAAGCACCAATTGACCTATAGAGGCAGAGCCATTAGGATAACAACAGACTTTTCCACTGAAACTTTCTAGGCCAGAAGAATGTGGTCAGCAACCTTCAAACATCTTAAACAAAACAATATTCAGCCCAGAAATCTGTATCCTGCTAAACTAAGCTTCAAAATTCATGGAGAAATCAAATCTTTTGTGGATATGCAAGCACTGAGGAAATTCCCCAAAAGACCAGCTTTACAGGAAATCCTTAGACCTATTCTCACACTGACCTTCACAGTGGATCACCAGCAAACGAAACACCCGGAAGCTAAAGGTCAAACTTAGCTTCCACAATGGCACAAAGATAAAACTACACCACAGGCTTTAACAAAATAAGATGAATAGCACTCTACCACACTTATTAATTCTCTCAATAAATGTCAGTGGACTAAATTAACCACTGAAGAGGCATAGACTAGCTGATTGGATAAAAAAGCTAAGCCATCCATATGCTGTCTCCAGGAGACACACCTAGTCTTGAAGGACAAATCAAGACTCAGGATTAAGGGATGGAAAACAGTATTTCAAGCAAACGGAAACCAGAGAAAAGGAGGGGTTGCATTATTTTCAGATACAAGCGAATTTAAAGCAACTAAAGTTACAGATGAAGGTGGGCACTTTATACTGGTCAAAAGAACAATAATAAGACATTTCAATTTTAAATATTTATGCACCCAATTTAAATGTCCCAGATTTATGAAACAGACCTGGATGGATCTGAGCAATATGATACCCCATAACACCACAATACTCTGGGACAGGGGTCCTCAAACTTTTTAAACAGGAGGCCAGGTCACTGTCCCTCAGACCATTGGAGGGCCGGACTGCGGGCCCCAGGACAAGTCAGCTGCTAAGCAGGATAGGCAGCGGCAGCAGAAACACCCAGCGCGCCGGATAAATGTCCTCAGTGGGCTGCATGTGGCCTGCAGGCCGTAGTTTGAGGATGCCTGCTTTGGGACTTTAACGTGCTCCCCTCCCTGCCCCCCGACAGAACTGGATAGATCCTCTATACAGAAACTAAGCAAAGATACAAAGGACTTAAATGTGACCCTAGAACAAATAGGATCAATAGACATTTACATCCCAAAGCTAAGGAATATACATTTTTCTCATCAGCCATGGTATGTACTGCAAAATCAACCATATTCCAGGATACAAATCAAACCTCAGCAAAATTAAAAGAATAGAAATTATACCTTGTATCTTCTCAGAACACAAGACAATAAAGGTGGAACTCAACACCAACAAAAACATTCATCCCCATATAAAGACATAGAAAATAAACAAACTACGCTGAATGATCATTGGGTTCAGGAAAAGATAAAAAGAGGAAATTGTTAAATTCCTGAAACATAACAACAATGAAGACACAAGTTACTAAAACCTGTGAGATACAGCTAAAATGGTCTTAAGAGGGAAATTTGTGACATTAGATGCCTACTTTCAAAAGACAGAAAGAGGGCATATGAACAAACTTATGAACCATCTTGTGAAACTGGAAAAAGAAGAGCAATCTAATCCCAAACCCTGCAGAAGATAAGAAATAACCAAAATTAAATCAGAGATGAATGAAATTGAAAACAAAAGTATCATTCAAAAAATTAATGAAACAAAAAGTTGATAAAAAAATAAAATTGGGGGCAGCGCCTGTGGCTCAGTGAGTAGGGTGCTGGCCCCATATACCAAGGGTGGCGGGTTCAAACCCAGCCCCAACCAAACTGCAACAAAAAATAGCTGGGCATTGTGGCAGATGCCTGTAGTCCCAGCTACTTGGGAGGCTGAGGCAAAAGAATCACCTAAAGCCCAAGAGCTGGAGGTTGCTGTGAGCTGTGATGTCACAGCACTCTACCCAAGGCAACAAAGTCAGACTCTGTCTCTAATAATAATAATAATAATGAAATAAAATAAAATTGATAAATCTTTGGTTAGCTTAACTAGAAGCAGAAAAGTAAAATCTCTGATAACCTCAATCAGAAATAATAAAAGGGAAATAACAACAGATGCCACAGAGATACAAGAGATCATCTCTGAGTACTACAAGAAACTCTATACCCAGAAATTTGACTACGTGAAGGAATTAGACCAATATCTGGGGTCACACCCTCTCCCTAGACTTACTCAAGAAGGAATAGATCTCTTGAACAGAATGGTTTCAAGAACTAAGATCAAAGAAACAATAAAAAAAAAATTTCCCAACATAAAAAAAATACCCTGATCCATATGTCTTTACACCAGAATTCTATCAAACCTTCAAAGAAGAGTTTATACTCATAATGCAGAAATTATTCCAAAGAATTGAGAAGGAAGGAATCATCCCCAACCCATTCTACAAAGCAAACATCACCCTAATTCCAGAATCAGGAAAAAAACCCAACTAAAAAGAAGAATTTCAGGCCAGTTTCACTAAGGAATATAAATGCAAAAATTCTCGATAAAATTCTAACCAATAGACTATAGCTATACATTAAAAAGAAATCATTCATCACGATCAAGAAGGTTTCTTTTAGGGATGCAAGGCTGGTTTAACTTACACAAGTCCATAAGTGTAATTTACCGTATCAACAGAAGCAAAAACAAAGACCATATGAATCTCTCAATAGATGCAGAAAAAGCATTCAACAAAATTCAGCATCCTTTTCTAATTAGAACACTTAAAAATTTAGGCATAGGTGGCACATTTCTTAACCTGATCAAAGCCTAGATCTATGACAAACCCACAGCTAACATTGTACTGAGTGGAATAAAACTGAAAGTTTTTCCACTTAGAACTGGAACCGGACAAGGTTGTCTTCTATCACCACTACTATTCAACTTAATGCTGGAAGTTCTAGCCAATACAATCAGGTAAGAGAAGGAAATAAAGGGCATCCAAAGGGGTGCAGAGAAGGTCAACTCTTCATCTTTGCTGATGATATGATCTTATGCTTAGAGAACCTCAAAGACTCAACCACAAGACTCTTGGTTGTGATCAAAAAATACAGCAGTGTCTCAGGATATAAAATCACTGTCCACAAATCAGTAGCCTTTGTATATGACAGTAACAGCCAAGATGAGAAGCTAATCAAGGACACAATTCTTTTCACAGTAGCTTCAAAGAAAATGAAATACCTAG